TGAGTTTGTGGATGTGTGTGCGTGTGTGTGAGAAGAGGCTCGTGCACTCGTATTCGGCACCATATAGCGCTATTAGGCTCTCCTACGATGCTCGAGGCTCATCATCCATCGGCCTCGCGTTCGAGCGAAAGGGCTAACGGACGTACAAGTCGATGTGGCGCTACTGAATTTTTTCCTCCGATCCACTCGACACAGTTAACAAGTATGTCGTAGCAGTGCAGTGTCCGATAATATAGGTTAAGAACACGCGTGCTTTGTTTACAGTGTTATATTTTAGTCGTGCAAATGCCGCAAGGAGCCTGTTATATTTCAAAGTTTCGAAGGGCTTCGTTTTGTAGGTTAGATTAAGGACATGGAATGCCATGTTCTAGCCTCTTCAGCTAGAAGGGAGTAGTCACGAGTGTGTCGATGACTTAACGTTCCCACAATTTAACGGGACTATGCCTTTCTCACGACAATATTCGCCAATGCACTGTCACCCGCAAAATTCTTATTTTACCGACCCAGGTAATACGTCAATAGTCTTAATTAATGGCATGTGTCTCGTTATTTTTCGTTGGTATGCCTCGATCAGATATTTTATCATTAATAGCGAAAGCGCAACGATACACGGCAGTCATTGGTATGGAATTATAATTATTTAATGCCGTGTTTAAAATGCCCCTGTCGATTTGTTTTGTTTCATTCATAGCTAGGGATTATTGATTTTTAATGACAATTAAAACTTGTTCATGTTGTCCAATGATTTTGCCAGGCTTTATACGAGGAGTTGGTTGTGTGATGTAATAAATTGCATTAGACTTACGAGATAAAGAAGTTTGGAAGGGCTTTTTTGTCTTTTCTCTTTAACACATAAAATGTTATTTATTTAGGATAGATGAGCGTTTAATTGTAAATAAAAAGTAGTTGTTGTATCGACGCCGTACGCTTGCTACCATGTAAGAATAAAAATAAAAATAAAATTTAGGTTAAGAGAGAAACGAAAAACATGAGATTCTACGTACGTGACAAAATTAAAAACTCTCGTTTAGTAGTGATATTTAAGTTTGTTTTTAATTGACTGCTGACAGTTTCTAAAGTAAATATTTCGGGATATATGTGTAATAATACTTGCATGCATCATCCTCCCATGTTGCGTATTTTTTTAAAAATTAAATATATTTAGTAAAAGTTTTTTTGTTTGTTCGTTTGTTCGTTTGTTTTATTTGTTTTTGTAAAACGTTTACAGTACTCGTGTATTATTTAAGCCGTTAATTTCAATTATATGCATTGATAGTCAATATCATACGAATCCTTTTGTTCATCCATTTTCTGTCGTATTTTCTAAACGATACAAAGTCGTTGATATTTCATGAAAATTTTTGCGCATACATTGTATGAAATTATTTTTAAAATATATAAAGGAAAATAACGATTGGATAACTCGTTAAATACGAAATAATACTTTAAACGATAAAATACGAAAGTAAAGCTGCGTATTAGTTGGAAGGTTTTATTTTCAACGAATAAGAGATTTTGTAACAGTGAACGTCAAAGTAGCGAACCGATATCCATTGTTAAATTGCAAATTTGAATTATTTACTATTGAATAGTAATTATAAATTTAAATTAAATTACTGTTTAATATTAATATATAGAGTTGAGTATCATTAAAAGTGCAATGCCTTCCGATGTGTTGTTGAGTGAGACGCTTTGAATATCGATGCAGATTTCTAAATTCGCCGTACTATTCACTTAAATTCTACTTTTAATCGAATTAATTCTAAGAAAATATAACATTGTGCTGTATTAATAAGTTGCTCTTAATATTTATAAATAGTCTATGCACCTATTAATGAGACGGAAAAGTATCAAAAGTAGATAAGGCGAATGAAATTTTAATTATCTTATATAATGTTAGCCTACTTCTTATTATCAAATTGAAAATTTATATGAATTATAATATCGATGAACGTAATGCAAGTTTGTCTGTATTCAAAACGAAATGATAAAAATACTTATGTTACTATTACCACTTTCGAATTAGAAATTAAATAATTGTCATATAGTTTTGCGAAATTCGAAAGTGAATATGAAAGTTCATTAATGAAACATTAATTTTTATTACTTACCAATTTAAATTACGCATAAATTATAAAAAAGCAATCCGATCACTTTTGTCACATGAACAATCTCATAAAACATAATTTGCGTGATTTTTATTTTTTTGATGAAAATTTAAATAAACCATTGTAAATCTACAATTGATCAATATATATTATAGGATTACAAATTTTTAAAAATGTGAAACATTTAAAATTAAATATTATATATATATAACGAAATTAGGATGGTTTGTTAAAAAATAGTATTTCTGTGTTCTTTTGAAAAGCGTGGGGGGGGGGATAGATAGAGAGAGAGAGAGAGAGAGAGAGAGAGAGAAAGAGCGCGCGCGCGTGTGTGTGTGTGCACGTCAAAGCAGGTTGGAATATCAAGAAAATTATTCACACAGTTGTCAATATTATCTTATATAATCGAAGCAGTTTGGATTGTTATGCAAATTAATTCGCTGAACTGTAATGTGAGCTCAACTATTTAAATTCTTGGATGGAAACATGTGAATAAAAGTAGATAAGAGTAGTCTCATCAACGCAACCATAATGATAATCGTCCATCTTTATTGTCGTTTAAAGGAAAAGCGATGGGTGATTCAATTAGCAAAGAGACGTATTTTTATTTTTTTGGCAAATATTGACGGGGCGAAGATGAAGTCGAAAATTCAGTACTTTTTAACGAAATAACACATTATATAAAAGAATATTGTTAAAATTCACTTACAAATTCAGGAATATTGAAATTAGTTGGCTATTCGAGTATTATTTATTCACAATTTATAAAGCACAATCCATATTCTGCTTTGAAATTACACTTCTACTATAATATTCAATAAACTCATTTTATTGTGAATGGAAATTTTAAATTCGATTGTGACATTAGAAATCTAAATCTTTTATGTGATAATGTAAAATATGAATATGTATCTGTAAAATCATTCATCTTCAGAGTCAAGTAATTAAAAAAAAAAAATACAACAACGAAAAAAAACATTTATTTCATTGTCACAATATCAAATTTAAGATATCCTATGTATAAGTTATGGAAATAGTGAAAGCAAATTAGAGCAAGTGGAAGTATCATTATAAATCCAAAATAAATTACTTGCAGTTTTCGCAACGATAATGATGCAGCGGAGGTTCAAAAAGCCAATATGAAGAGAATGAGACAATTTTGTCGTCATCTGGCCTGATCGTTAAGAAACAGTCACCTGCAACTTCCCTCGCACCATGAGATCGAAAAGCCAGCGAATGGAGATGATGGGTACCGGCGAAGACATAAGTAACCCAGCGGCCGAGGCCCAGGAAGAGTACGACGAGTTCAACTCGAAAACGGTGGTGAGTATGATGCCGATAGTCGTTGCCAGATCGGCCAATAAGAGCCCGTTAAGCGATGAAGGAATCGAGCCCGACTCCGAGAGAAAAAGGGGATCGGTCTCGAGATGCTGGAGCATCGATTCCGCGGTGACTAGCGAAGAAGATTATGGGCAATCGGTAAGGAGGCAGAAGCTCAGGGTCACTAGATGCTGCAGTTCCGATAGCGCTGTTCTTAGCGACGACGATCAGAACAAGGGTGAGTTGAAATTCAGACGTTTCGATCAAGATTTTGTTATGGGAATTCGATGGATTTTAGTCATTAGTCCGCTATATCTTGAAATTCCGTTTTACAAATGTGTCATCGATGAATATTTACGTATCTATGAAATTAAATTAAATACTTATGTTAAATATTTCGAATTCTTTAATGATTTACTTTATAAAAGAAAAAAATATTTTCAAGTTGATCATGAAGTTAGTGAATATTTCGATATTTTCATCTCCGATCAAAATAATCAAATAAATCAAGTTCTCCGTATATGTGAGAAAATTCTTGTCTTTTTAATAATACGAATCAAAAATGGGTTATTAATTTGACATATATGTATATTCCATAATTTCAATTTCTCCTTTCCACGTGAAAGGAATCTCAATATTACTTCCGTTATACTTAATCACACCATTACATTATTGATAATTTCTACATAAATAAATAAATATATATATATATATATATATATATATATTTTAATTTATTGACTTAATATAGAATTTAACATCAATTATTGATAATTAACTTTTGTATAATTCACGACAGAAATATATATTTTAGTGAAAAAAACTATACTATGCACATGATCTCTATGCAAATGAGATTTCTTCCTTAATTTTTTCCTTAATCTCATAAAATAAATAAAACATTGGCATTTAATAAAGACATCGAAGCATATTTAAGTTGCACTATTTTCTTAATAAAATGAAAATATTTATATTTCATTGCTTTTGTATTTAACACAAATTTCTAATTTTTTAAATACATATGGATTATTATATTTATTTAGACTATTCAAATTATATAATCCATTGGGATTTTAATCGAAAATATCGTAATTAAATATTTTATACGTCAATAGGTATTCGATAGGCTATTTTACATTTCGAATTAATATTCTTTTAATTGATAGCATTGGAATTCTTTACAATTTTATGCAAATCTGGAAATTTTTTTATCTCATCGGTATGTGTGTACATCTTTTCCTTCAATTATATCTAAAGCTATTAAAATATTGTTAATGATTTATTCGTATACAAAATATATAAATATATTAATCTTTTTTTTAATCATAATTTTATATATATTACAAATTTTTGATTAGTGCAATATTTTCTAAATATGTCATTATTTCTATTAATAATTTCGCGTTAAAAGAATAATTTGATCACTAGTTTATTTAAACGAAACATACAAGCCAAATCTTCACAAATATGCCTTCTATCGATAACAAATTAAAATTTCCGACATATTTTTATTTTTGTTATATTATGCTCTGAATCTATTTATATAATAATTGTTATAAAATCATAAATGAATTTAACTATTTTTTTTAAGTATATATTCCTTGTCGAATGTTATACATATGAATCTAATAATTTTAAATTATATTAATATTAGATTTATTAATCGATATAATTTTACCCCAATAAATATATATATATATATATATATATATATATTTCTCATAAACTCGAACGCTAAAGATTATTTTATTATCAATGATAGTGTCAATTTGTCAAGCCATTCATTAGTTTCTTAAAATAATTTTCATCATATTAAGTAGATCATTTATTTCCGTCACAGACACAATTTTCTATTCATCGTAAATCTGATTTATGTTGAAAATCATTTTTTATCCGATCTATACCAATAAATATTTTGTCAATTTTGCTCAACTTCACGTTATTTATTAAGTCGAATGTTATGCTTTTTTTATTTACTAATATTTCATTTTATTCTTTTTTTTTTTTGTTTTTTTGTTTTTTTTGTTTTTTGTTTCCTCTATGTAATTCCTTGTTCTTATTTTCTTATTTTTTTTCTCTTATTTTTAATCGTATATATAATTGTTTTCTTTGTCACTGCTGTATTTTGTATACATTGGACATTGTGTATATACATGTATTTTCAATTTTAAACTTAGTTATCTGCCTATTGGTTAACTTATCAATTCCTTATGAAACTTTTGAATGATCAAATATATCGCTTTAACGTAATTCTTATTCCTCTCTATGCTTTCCCACACTTTCGGATAATTAATTTGCTCCTCATGCTGATTTGATCTGTGAAAAGGAATATATTCGTTTCATTTGACAATTTTTATCTTCTGTTGAAAATAGCTTATAGAATAATCTCAAGCTCAATGGCAGGTTCATCCAGACTGTCGCAATAAATCTAATCCCATTTATTCGAATGATTAAAACACATGAAACTGCCGAGCAAATGACTAATGTCTGTCGTGTCACTCCCCGAAAACATAAATATAAAAAAGTCTGGCTTTTCGAACATCAGGTGACAGTGTCGAGAGTGAGTCGAGCGACGGGAGGCCCAGGTATTGGCGAACGCCCAGTGTCGTCGTCAGCGATTACTCGGACTATTCGTACTTTGACGAGAAATTCGAACGCAGCGACTCGGAGCTGGAAAAACTTGAGAGTAATAGCGCTAGCCCTAGCCAAGCTAGCAGCTGCTCCTGCCTCGATTGCGACGAGGGCCGAGACTTCCAGGATCTTTCGCCGAGCCTCGAGAATCACATGCTTCAGGTTTGTCGGCACCGACGACACTCAGACTCTTGTTGTGTTTGCGTGGGGCCCATAAACCTCAATATTTCAAGGTACACTTGCTTACAACAGCATTGAGTATTTTAACAAGAAATAGTAAATAATTTTATGTAATGATAGATGAGAACTGCTGTCCACATATTGGCATTAAGCTCTTACAAAGGTTGGCGATCGATCGCACCTTGACACTTTCGAAAAAGTCTCTTTATAATCATCGATGCCCTATAATGGGCTTCAATGTGCTTTTGAATAGAACAATTTTTTTTTTTTCTTTACTTTTAGAATTTTTAATTCACTAAGAATGAGTGTCACAAAGTAAATTTCAATCTTAAAGGTCAATATATTAATTGCTATGTCGACTTCACTTATCTCATTTAATGAAAATTAAAGGCTCCGACAGTTGGGTAAACAAACAATCATGATGAAGAATTTGTATGTTTCTTGAAAATGAATGTAATTTTGGAAACATTGTAAAAGTAATTAATTTAATTATTGATAAATAACGTAAGTGCAATGTATTTTAATGGAAGTGACGTTATTGAAATTGCCATGTAATATAAAAGAATGTTCGAGCAATCCGATTAACCGATTGCCATTGAGTGAGTAAATGCGCAAGTCAGCCAGTACGGGTGAAAAATGAATTCTTATTTGCTTATGGAACAATGAACACATTGGCTTGCAACAACTTCCGTTCTTAGAGCTGTTTATAACGGGCACTGTCTATTTATATTTGTCGTAATAAATTATGTCAAATCAACAAAATCATTATTATTCCCTGCTTCTAAGAACTTTTTAAAATATAATTATCTTGAAATAACCTTTCATAAACAAAATTCACATTAGACTACGTTCATTTAATTATACAAAGTATAGATATTATTATGATTATGTATGAATTTTAAATTCTTTACGGAAATATAGATGATAACAGAAGTATCCAATTACGTAAAAATTAATGACATAAATAATTAATTTATATCATAAATTCTTTTGTTTTCAATTTATAATAATGTGTGTTAAGTAGGCGTAAATAGCGGAATTTAGGAGTTATTGACGAGTCGCTAACGAGTAATAATTATGAAGAAAATATAAATATTCAATACATTTCCAATGTGACTTGTAGCAGGCACATAAATGATGGTGGGAACAGGCGAAATTCCTGTTTGGCATCCTCCAATCTATATTATACGAAACTATCCGTTGGCTACGACGAATCGACCAGGACATCAGAGATGAAAGACAGGACGACAGCGGCAACGACGACAACGACGTACGAGCTCCTTGACATTCCCCCAAGCCGCAAGATCTCAGACTGCTCGACGATTTCAAGTTTGAGTGGTGATGAATTTGAGGTCACCGAACTGCAGCCGATAAAGCACACTTCGGTGAGTTTTCCCACATATACATTACATTTGTAAGAAAATTGTGAATAGCGTGCCATCGCGCCCTCTAGCAGGATTGTGAAAAGTGAATGTCGTTGATTTGTAATTCTATAAGACTTTAGTCGGTATGGTAGATTGTCCTCTCAATCTTTTACTCTACAAATTAATTTTTGTGATTAACACTTGATGATTAAGGGATCTACTGTTTTGAGCTTCTCATTTAAAGATTTCAACTGCTTTGTACCCTATCGAACATTTTTCGTAAATAAAAATTTCCATTTGAATCCATTAGCCGTTTAAAAGCTAAATATAATTGATATCAATGTAATATGTAAAATATTTGTAGATAAAACGTAAATATTTGTTTAATTATTAATGATTATTCATCATTTAAAAATATTAATGCAATGGCGTTATTGAAAGATTGCAAATTATGTATAGCATCTAATTTTTTTAAGGGCTCATTTAAATTAAGATAAATTATTATATTAATTATAAAATATGGAAACTAAGAAATAAAACGATTTAATAACACTTGAATTATTATTTATACATATGTGGATATTTAATGTTAGGGTATTATTTCAATATCTACGAAACTATGAAATTTTATGTCACGGAATATTGGAAATATAATGTGACTGCATAATATTTTTATCCTAATAATTGAATATTTAGACTGATTTTTTTTTTGTCAAATATAAAAATAGGATAAAATATTACCCAAATTCAAATAATTCTTTCATACTGCACTAAGTACGAAAGAAATTTAACAGTTTTACCGTTATATAAAACTATCTGATCAATATTAATAATAATAATAATAATAATAATAATAATACTAATAATAATAATAAGATTTAATACTGAATTTTTATAATTTAATTTAATAATTTCATATCTAATAAATAAATTAATTATTTGATTCATTGAATTACCTTATAAAAATGATCAATGCACGTAATTTTTATTAAATTTGTTGAATGTTACATGCTAGAGAAAAGAAGTGAATGCATTGCATTCAAGTAGGGAATTCATTAAAAAAAAAAAAAAAAAAAAAAAAAAATTACTCGTTACTTAGCATCTAAAAAAAGATCAACAGAAAAATAAACAAGTATAAAAAGAAGTTTGAACGTCACCATGCGGTGTGAGAAAACAAGTTTCCTGATAAATATGCTCATAAGCATCAACGGTGACTAATGTTCAATTTTATTCTTTCTTAAGAAGAAAAAAAAAATCACCGTACGGTTATACTTTCAACTTTGCGCGAGCACCGTTAATCAAAGAAAACCCGAGTGCCGATTGAATTAATGCGTAAAGAATCTATTTGCGTGCGTTAGTGTCTGAACACATGGTCCGCTCTAATATGTAAGTCGTTTTATCATAGGAACCGAACACTTGTTTGTTCATTTCTCTTTCAATACTTCCACGTATTCTTAAGCCTATTCATTGTCTTTTTACTTAAGCGATTTCCAAACAAAATTGTGCATTTAGACTTTCTTTATTATTGCCTTTATTTTCTCTTCATTGCATTAATTATATTATTTAAAGTAAATTATATATTGCAGTGTGGAAGCTATATCAAATTGTATTTCATAAAATATGAAAAATATGTATCACGAATTAGTGCCATATTCAATTATATTAAAATTCATTTATTCTACAGATTTGCAATGAAAGACAAAAATATGTAATTAGATGAAAGTTTCGAATTGCGTTATTAAATAAACATTTATTTTATGTCACATCGTAACATAAAGCGAAGTTCCCCCATACATTTATACATTTTAAGAGTTTCAACAATGGATTTCAAAGTCAAAATAACTGCAAACATGTTATCTGATATGTCAAATGGGTCTGATATTACATAAATTAATGCATATTTATCTTTAACTACGTAAGTGCACTTTTTAAAAAAGTGAATCGAGATAATTGTAAAAGAATCTTATTTCAGCAGTGATGCTATTACAGAAAGTCTTAACAGATTATTCCAATTCTTAGTTAGAAAATTAGCTTTTAATATTATTTGTCTGAAAATTTTCATTACTAATTAATAATTAAGGCAATATAACATCCCAAGTAATTTATACAACAATGACAATACTATCAATAGAGTTTCGTCAAAAATCAACTGTACTACAATTATTATCTATTTTACTACTAAAAATAGCCGTTCCACAAACATACATGTAGACATACATTTCTAAATATGCATATACAAAAGTGTTTAGATATATAAATTTCTTCTCTAAAATGTGATGAAAATTTTGGCATTAAATTAGCATGCAATCAATTTTTTGTTATTATTCTTAATAATTATTACCATTTATTATATTATTTATTATATTTTATGCCATAAATTAGTTTTTGTTGTGTAAATTTCACGTTTATTGAATTATTTCATTTGTAACTGAATGTGTCGTTTAAAGTGTACTATTTTATAATATTAAATTCATTGGATTTAATCATTTTAAGAACACCGATTAAATTTAGACAATTTAAATGTACTTGGAGTTGAATTTAATCAAATATTTATATGTAATGATATCGTTTTATTTTGTGATATTAATTAGCAACATGTACACATTGATATTGCCGAGCAATTTAAATAAAAATAAAAGTATTGTTGATTATATTAATTTATTTATAGAATTATTGAATTAACAATGATTATTCATACTCTTTTTTTTTTTTTTTTTTTTTTTTTTTATATCAATTTCTAAATTTCTAAACAAAAAATATTCGAAAGATCGCATTTACTTTATTAGAATGCGATCCATTCATTCTTCAATTGATAAATCTCATTTCCTCTATAATGAAAGCAGTTCATTAAGTGACATCAGTATCCTCTTACAGAAAATGTAAAGTATTTTGCAATAAGAAATCATTGTAATGAAAATTTCTGAGAAATACTTGAAATGAAGATATTTAATCTTTAAAAATTGTAAAATTAAATAAAAATTTATTTAAATATTCATTACTAATTTTAGTTGTATGAAAAAATATTTACTAGCTATAACAAACATTTTATGAATATTATAAGATTTCAAGGGCTTCAAAGTTTTGGCATAAGATCGGATGTTTTCTCTAATTAGTAGAGACTCACGAATAATAACTCACGAATAGTCACTAATTATGACAATTTAAATTTATACATATGCTAAAATACAGATTAAATCATTAAATAAATAATAAGTACAATTGTTAAGTTTATTCAAAATTTCGTTATTTCTAACAGCTGATGGACTATATATATTCCTATAAATAAAGCTCTTACAATGTGTCCCAATGATAGTTATTAATTATAATCACCACTAATGCGAGAAAGATGAGTATTTAGATGAAATACAATGTAATACAATGCATTGGTAGCGGTTGAGAGACGGAAAACGCAAAATCCTCTCGAATATCAATTCATTGCACATTTATCTACAAATTTTCTATTAATGCTCATATTGTTAATAAGCTTAGTTGTTATGTACTTCTTACAGTTATAAGGAAGTTCAATTAAAATATGAATGAAAAAAATACAGCCTTGCATAGTTAATCATAAAATATTAATGATTAATGCACTTCTGCTCATTATTGTAGTGAAAATAAAAATAAAAATAAAGCAGGAATAGAACATTAAATAATCTAAAATACGTACAACGCTCAATGAAGAATAAAAAGGGAGACGAAGAGTTAATATATTTTCGCATTGTTTCTTCATATTTTTCTTCTTAGCTAATTTCAATTAAAAGATATAAAGTAATCAATACACAATATAAAATAGCCTTAAGTTTAATTACGTTGAAAAGTATCAATTAAAATCAGATTTATGTTTAAATACTTTAAACCAATCAATCTGTTGTGAATATACTCATTGTTATTTTTAAATTACATAATATCTATTCATAATTTCATAAATTTTTATTCATAATTATTATAAAGTTAGAGTTTTAATTAATTCACTTTTTTACTTTTAAATTCAATTTTATTTTAATTTCTAAATAATATTTAGTGAACGTCTTGTAATATTTAAATCGACATGTAAAATTTTATTTCACAAAGTAGATTTATATAACTAATTCGCAAGTGAATTAATCGAGTATTAAATAATATTAAATACAACTATACGTTATATATTTAATATTATATAATTATGATTGAGATTCACAAAATCAAAAAGAAAATTGAGTTTAATTATAATTGTAAATACTATATACCTCAGTGTAAAAATAATTTTGAGGTATGTATTTTTTTGAATTTAATTAGATTTTCTTTTTAATTATTAGTTTATCATTGTTTCATAGAAGCAAAATAAAGTGGTGAATTTGGTCAGTGAACTCTATTCGGTCAATATCTCGTATAATTTTCGCTAAAATTGAACAAAAAATAAAATCGATATTTTCTACTGGTTCTGCAGAAAATCATATAATTAAAAATCCTTGATCCGATGAATAAACATAAATGGTAATGATATATGCACACGCGTACATCCTTTACATTATTCTTTGACCTTGATGACTTATGTAATATAAAAAAGCAAGTAAAAAACTGATCGTTGTTGAATAACGGCAGATACCATGAATCTTAATTTCATATTAAAAAAATTGGAAGCTTATTGGCTTGTCCACTAAATAATTTACGCTTCTGATTTGTATCAAACATTGATCAAATAAATCTATTTAACGTTTTATCGAGATGTTCTATTTTTCAAACTTACAAGTTAACATTAGTCTATCTCTTTGATCCCGATCTTTTTTTACTTCAGTTTCTTGCTGCGCATATTTATTAAACACAATGAACTCAATTTATATTCAAACTAAAAGCCTATTCTATTTTAAGCTCCCATTTAATTATTTGTTTATATTAGATTCGATTTTTTTTTTTTTTTTTTTTTTTTTTTTTTTTTTTTTTTTTTTTTTTTTTTGAAATGACAACACATTTTAAATTGATTTCGATATAATTTAAATGGTTTTTTTTTTTTTTAATTATTTCGAATGAAAATTTAATAACAT